GGAGTGGGGGCAGGGGTGGGGGACCAGAACACGGGAGGCATGTGATTCAGACAAAGCTCGTTACTTACACTGGCGTTGGGGTGAGTTCTCTGACAACTTTGCTCATTTTCCCTCTGGTTGATGATGTTTGCTCCGTGGCATGGTGCAGTGTGGTCACGGGGACATTTGGGGGTGGAAGTGTTAGAAGCAGAGCTGAGACTTAACGTTCCAGTGCTGATCTGAGTATATTCCTAAGTGTCTGTTACCTGTCTGTGTGCCCAAGCCTTCACACGTCACAATTTGAAGGAAAGTTTTATTGATCAGGAAGGTGCCAACTGAGAAGATGGGAGACAACCTCAAATCCATCTTAAGGAAGTACAAAATTCAGGCTTTTTATGTGAAGGGAAGGGGAGGAGGGAGGAAGGGTCCAAGGAAGACTGCTCCCTCTGTTGACCCTGTTGATGTGAGTCTTGTCTGCTAGAGGTTCCTGCAGATCTTTGGTAACCAGTATGTGCTCCCGCGTCCGGGAGAGGCACTCCCTGGTCAGGGGCAAGCAGAACTCGAAGGATTCGCCGTCTCTGTGAGAAGGCATTGGCCTGCAGGCTCTGGGAACAGCGGGTTGGACAGGGCGAGTCAGAGGCCCAGCACTTCTCTCTGTCACATGTTTGATTTTTATTTTTTTTCTGTAAAAGTTTGCGTATGTTCTGCATCATAAGCAAGGACATTTTCTCATTCCAGGGCTTCCTACAAATTGACAGTTGCTTTAGACTAGAGAAGTATGTTCCCATTAAAAATTGTTCTCGTTTTTCACAAAATAATAACCCAGTGGGTGCACACACACAATTTGATATCAGTTTACGTGGAATTTTAGGTGAAAGGGGCGGGGGGGGGGTAGGTCACAAACTTCCTTTATCACATTTTTAAGCTCTTGATTTGAATCTTACTGAGTTCGTGTTGTTTTTATAAAAGGTGGAGATGAAGAAGAAAATGATGAGCCGCCCAAAGTAGTAGTTACTGAGGTCAAAGAAGAAGATGCTTTTTACTCCAAAAAGTAAGTAAGAGTCGGAGCCGAGGAATCCACTTGGTGAAGGTTTTCAGAGACGTGAACGGAGGCTTCTGACATTGTCCCAGAATTTACTGTGCCAGCCTGTGCCCCCTCCTTGAACTGGAGCGAGGAAGAATTCTCGGCCCATTTATTTAAAACAAACAGGTTCTAGACATTTTCTCTGGGCACAGCCTTCTCTCCCGCCGATCCAGCCCTTCTGCTTCAACTTCAAAGTGCTGTGGAGAGGGCCTTCTCTTTGCCATTCCTGCCCCTCTGGGCTACTTCCTCTCCCCTTTCTCTCCTCCCTGCCCCTCCCCTCCTCCATCCCCCACCAGGAAGTCACAGGCACTGACTGGGGTTCAGTGCTACTTCTGCTCTCTGATCCGTCCTGGAGACATGCTGGCCTTCATGGATTCTCTCGCAGGTCTGCCCAGCCCCTTCCATGAAGGCTGTGTGAACACTGTCTTCCCTGCTGTCGGGGCTGCTTTGTTTTTATATTTATTGGGGTGACATTGGTTAATAGAATTATAGAAGTGTCAGTGAAACTGTGACACATCGTCTGTGAATTGCACCGTGTTCACCACCCAGTCACACGCCTCCATCAGCGCATATTCAACCTGCTTTTGCTTTGACATGAAAGCTGCAGCTTTTAGAAGAAAGCAGAAGGGGGTTTTGAGTTAACTCTCAACGAAATGAAATTAGTACTTTTAAGAGATATTTACTGAAAAATATTTTTGCCATTTTAGAAGCTTCCCTAGAGGTATTTTTCTAATAGAAAAAGTTCAGTCTAATGAGTCAGCATTTTCATAACAAAAAATCACCATGTCCTCTGAGATTCCCACCTGAGAACTGTTAAAAGAGGCGGCAATTCCTTTTGCCTGTTTTTGAGATTAACTTACACAGATGACCGAAAGGCGTCGGCAGTTTCCCTGATCTGAGGAATCAGAGGGGCAGGGTCTGGTCGGGTATTGATGACCCAAGGCGCCGCGTGACGCTGACTTCTAGGAGATGTTTTACTGCATTGTCAATAGTGAGGGAGAGAAAAAATTGTTGGAGTCCCGAATTCAGAAATAAGAAAGGAAAAAAGGGGAGGGCTGTGGGCAGTGTTTCTTCTGTTTTGCTGCTGTTTTCTTTTTTTAAGTTAATCCTCACCTGAGGATATTTTTCCATTGATTTTTAGAGAGAATAGAAGGGAGGGGGAGAGACAGAGAGAGAAACATCAATGTGAGAGAGAGACATAGATTAGTTGCCTCCCACGCTCACCCTGACCAGGGCTGGGGATCAAGCCTGCAACCTGGGACCCTTCAGTCCGTGGGCTGATGCTCTATCCACTGAGCCAAACCAGCCAGGGCTTTTCTCTATTTGTTCTTGTCCTTGGAAGACCAGATGGCCGTGATTTTGATTGTCTTGAGAAAGGGTAGTTTCAGAAAGTTATGTAATAATTTGGAAAAATAGTGGGAAGGGCTCTCGAATATCTAACCAGGCGTTCCTGTTCTGGCTCGTGCCCAGACCCAGTCGGGGTCCACAAAAGATGGGTCTTGAAGCTTCCTCTGCTCATTCAATAGAGATTTTCCACACAAGTATGAATAGCGGTTGTTAGACTTGATTTGTCATTATTCGTCTGACTGTACCTATTGTTTTTCTCTGTAGGTGTAAACTTTTTTATAAGAAAGACAACGAATTTAAAGAGAAGGGTGTAGGCACTCTGCATTTAAAACCTACAGCGAATCAGAAGACACAGCTGTTGGTGCGGGCAGACACCAACTTAGGTGGGTGCCCTTTCTCCCAGGCGGCACCGCACCGGCACCGTCCCGTGGCCCCGTGGAGAAGCCCTTCACTTGCTCCGCTCAGTCTTTGGGATTTTCAAGTCCCTTGATGTGGGATTGGGAGCAGAGGAGACCGTTCAGGCCAGATTCATCCTGGACTTAGCGGTTCTTGCGGATTGATTTGAGTCCTGGGGGATAGTGTGTAAGAACATGCACTGCTAAAAGCTATAGCACAGCGGTTCTCAACCTGTGGGTCGCGACCCCTTTGTGGGTCGGATGACCCTTTCACAGAGGTCGCCTAAGACCATCGGAAAACACATATATAATTACATATTGTTTTTGTGATTAATCACTATGCTTTAATTATGTTCAATTTGTAACAATGAAAGTACACCCTGCATATCAGATACTTACAGATGATCCATAACAGAAGCAAAATTGCAGTTATGAAGTAGCAACGAAACTAGTTTTATGGTTGGGGGTCACCAAACATGAGGAACTGTATTAAAGCGCCGCAGCGTTAGGAAGGTTGAGAACCACTGCTAGAGCAAGACATTAACAAAATGGTCTGTGTGCTCCTTTGTGTTAGAGACGTGACTAAGAAGCTGGAGGTGAATTGGATGGATTAATGATAGACACACAAGGGGAATCAATCATTTAAAGGAATCCTCTTATGTAGCAAATAATCATAATGCACTCCCCTTAGCCCACCCTCCCGCTGGGCCCTTAGAACAGTCCATGGAAAAGGGCGTTTTGGAGGGGCCTGCGGTCTAAGAGGCCTCCGCCAGCCTTTCTCTTCCTGTGAGCCGGGCTGTGGGTCGGGACTGGCAGTGCTCCACTCCCCAGGGAGCCGGCCCCGGGGACGCGTTTCTTCACTGACCGCCGTCTGTTCCGATGACTTAGTGAACTCGGGGCAGGCAGTGTGCCCGTCCTTCAGTGCGACAGTGGCCGGCCCGGCGGGATGGCCGCACGGCGGAGGGCGGGGGAGGCGGCTGCTCCACAGTCAGGCAGAGCCAGTCCTGCCGGGGCCTCGGGGGCCTCTCGAGACACCATGCTGGCCTCGGTCAGGACCGCCCGTTTCTGTGACATTCCCGTGGCCCCGTTTCAGTCCATGGGGTGCAAGGGGCTGCATGTTTCATGTTCATGGGGCTGCAGTTTGTATGATTTGTATCATTTTGTTTCCTTAAATGCAGGCAACATATTACTGAACGTCCTGATCGCACCCAACATGCCGTGCACCCGGACCGGGAAGAACAACGTGCTCATCGTCTGCGTGCCCAACCCCCCGGTGGACGAGAAGAACGCCGCCGCCCCCGTGACCATGCTGATCCGGGTCAAAACCAGCGAGGACGCGGACGAGCTGCACCAAGTCCTCCTGGGGAAGAAGGACGCCTAGCCCCGCCCCCCTTAGTCAGGTTGCTTCTTCCGTTGACGTTCTGAGAACTTTTAGATAACTTACAGCCTTGAGAGCAAGATTAATATGGCCAATAAACCTTTAATGTTTAGTGTTAAGAACTGTCTAATGTGTAAACTACATTTGAAAGAAATTTCGGTATTTTTAATGTTCATTTATTAAATTAACCACAAGTGATTTCTTAATGGACTGAAATCAGGGTAGCGATCGGAGTTCCCAAAGCTTTTCCCACCCGTGGGTTTGGGCGAGGCTCCCGAGGGCGGGTGTCCAGAGGAGCCTGGCCCTACCCTCCCGCCCACTGGGCGAGGCTGGGCCGTGGGGACAGCGCCCCTCCCAGGTGAAGCGCTGCCCTGCTGGCGGGGGTGTGCTTGTGTTAAGTGTTCTTCTAAAGCTGCAGCCGGGCCGCTCAGCAGACGTGGCCTTGCCCCTGCAGGCTGCTGGGCAGGACCCAGAACTGCTTTTCTTTTTACAGGAAACAAGGACTCGTTCTTTAGTTGTGGAGTGTGATTCATGAGGTGCTGTTACTTCTGTGTCCCCTCATGACACATGGTTAAGGGGGGTTGCCAGGGATGAGATTTAAAAGCACAAATTTGGTCGCTTATACTTTGAAAATCATCCTACAGCAGAAAGTGAACATGCTTGTACCACGGGAGCCCTGTGGGTCTACAACTACCTGCTGCTTAAGCCCTAGGAGCTTTTATTAGGCACGAACCTTGTGAATCCACCAGGAAAGGGAGGGGAAAGCGTGTGTGTAAATGTTGCCTTTACCTTGGACGCCGGGATATTCCATATTCCCATCAAGTTCCAGTTCCTTTCTGAGTGAGGTTGTTCAGGGTGCCCCCGGGGAGGGCAGTGCCGTTGGCACAGGCGTGCTGCGCTGCTTCCCCACGGCTGTCGGGCAGCTCACACCAGCTTCCCTCAGACAGCACGTGAGAGACGGGCTTTGGAGGTTGACATGCCGGTGTTGCTGACTGGTTAGCGCCGGCATCAGGCGAACTTGTTTAAGGCTCGATTGGTGCCTGAGGGCTCACGCTGTATGTTCTGACCTTCAGCACATCTTCTGACTTAGAAAAGAGGAGTCAAATAATTGTAGATAGTGTAGTTGTTGTTTTTTTTTAAAAAGCTACAATTTTTAGATGTAAAGGGGGTGGGGAAACATGATCAAATACAATAAATATTGGAGGCCAGGTGGCTGGACCAATGTTTGCCATGAGATTCCTGCACTGCTCTGTTCGTTAACGGCACGGGCGCGCGGCCGGGGTGACGGTGAACGCGCAGACAGGCGTGCTTGCTGGGATGGGTGTGGGCCAGCTCGTCCCCTGCGACCTAGGCAGCAGCAACAGTGGTTTTTGCATTTACTGCTGAGAATTGAGATTATTCATGTGCTCTGGCTACAGATGATTGATAATAAACAAGCTGTTTATTACTGATGCTGTTAGAGTGGCCCTGCCCCTGCCCCGGGCACATAGGTTCTCTGGGTATCCAGCTGTCAGGACGAGGAAGTACAGCCCCGCCCGGAGCAGCGGAGTCAGCAGGGAACAGGTGGTCATGGTGCACCGTTGTTAGCTTCTTTTTATTTAAGTTTGGATCATATTTTTAATTGTCGTTAGCTGGTGTGTGACTGGCGAGATGCGCAGCAGCAGGGGCGCGGGGACTCCTGAGAAGGTGGTTCGCTTACGTCTTTCAAACCAGTGGTGGCTGAGTGTGCTTCTCCTGACATTCCCGGCAAATTCTTGCTGCTAAGACGCACTGGTACAGTGAGAATTACAGGGGAAATGTGATGTGTGTGCCATAACTCAAAATGTGATATTTTCTTACAATTCTTACGCTTCAGGAACTTGTTGGTCTCCACTTTAAATAGGTGCTGGGTACCGGCGCCTGGGAACATGGGATTTCACTGTACCCCGACCTCCTTGCCTGTGGCCTGGGGAGGCCGGCCTTCCCTCCCCTTGCGGGACAGCTACACCCTCCCCGTGCGGTCATGCTCATCTTCAACAAAGTGTTAGAAATGAGTCTTGAAAATGTTTAAATGTGGACTGAAATGTTCATTTTTGGTTTAAGAACCTATAAAGTGTATTATGTGTGTGGCCTACAGTTAGTGTGTATCTTTCATTCTGAATCAGGTATTGTTGCATCTTGACAAATACTGAGCATCCCAGCGGCCTTTTCCACACTCATGTGTCCTTCTCAACCTTTTGAGCCTCCCCAGTAGGCGAAACACTGCTGTGGGCTCCTTCTGTTAGACTTACAGACGGGAAGATGTGTCCAGGTGTTTTTTAATTTCAGAGAGGAAGGGAGAGGGAGAGAGATAGGAACATCAGTAATAGAAAATTATTATCAAGCCCAAAACCCAGGCACATGCCCTGACCAGCAAAAATACTGTGATCTCTTGGTTCATGGGTCCACACGCAACCACTGAGCCACACCGGCCGGGAGCATCCAGGCTTTAAAGAAGTTTAGGTTGTGTTTCCTGGGAAGAACCGGTCCGACTGTTTAGGAGCTGGTTTTCTTTAACAGGATGGCCGTTTTACAACTTTACTCCAGATCCTACTTTTGACACGCTGCATGCCAGAATGCCTACCTACTATCGCATCTTGCTCTTAGTTCAGACCAGTGCTCACTGAGAAAGATGGGGGTGTGTTTGGGGGCATCTGTCGGTCATTCTGGAACAGCCCACATGCAAGCACAGTGCACTCGAGGCTTCGTACACCAAGCGGCTCCCAGCCCCCGTGTCCATTCTCCTTCTGAAAGTGAGAAATGGACAAGCTTTCGAGGAGAAACGGGGTTGTCCTGTGCTGCCTGCAGGGACAGGGAGCCTCTTGGCAAACTGGTCTCAGCCCCGCGCTGAGCACAAGGCGCTGGGAAGTACTTGGCCTTGGACGGGGGACTCTCCCAGACCAATTGTAACGGAGATGAAAGCTTCCTTCCTAGCAATCAGGTGGACACATTGTTTGCTTTCTATTTTAAGTAGGAAACATATTAAAATACTTGAATTGTCGGCCCATGTAATCCGTTTGTGTTAGTTTTTGAATGATCCCATTGAGGACTTGTAATAATCCATGAAATGTGAATAAATGGAGAGGAAACAACATCCGTGTTTGGCATTCCATGTTCCTTTTCGACGCACCTGGCACTAATACAGGGCACGGGAGCAGAGGGGTCTGCAGCGCGGGGAGGGGAAAG